AAAAAAAAAAAAAAAAAAAAAAAAAAAAGAAAAATCACGTTTCGAATGGAGCTGTCTCAGATGCTACACCCGATTATTGTGTGCTTGCATATACTCACCAATACACCGGCTCGATTGCTCATGCATACATCTGTCGGATAAAATTCATTTTGGCATTCTCGATGTGTGTGTGTGTGTGCAACGTACACGTATATGTATATACGTATCATAATTGATGCCGATTTACATTTTTCTCTGGCCTGATGCAACGCGCCGAGAGATTTTTCACACATGGAGTGATTTCGAGGAGAGACGAAACAAGGGGAACGTAATTAACATTCCTTGCAAGTACCCACGCATCAGGTACACTATATATTTATTATATGTGTACTATAACATCGAGGTATCAACAACAACAACAACAACAACAACAACGTGATTCTCGTAAAAATCGTAATTACAAGCGAGACGCATATCACAATTGAGGGTAATGACTGTGATTTAAATGAAGCATTAGCTGTATTTATATATAAATATACACTTACCCATACATGCATGTATACTATTGTGTGTGTGTGTATGTGTGTGTGTGTATGTGCTACGTGTTCCCAAATGACGTCACGATAGAGAACAATAGCGGGTCACTGTGTACCATATAGTACATATATATATATATGTATATATATATATATGTACGTGTATTTGTACGTACGTACGGTATATCTTTTGTTAGCCCAAGAAAGAGAGAGAGAGAGCAAGTGCCAGTTCTGGAATGCATTAAAAAAGATTACCCCCATCGATCGAACGTATATACACACACACACACACACACACACACACATACATACCAGCCGTGTACCCATTCATTCACGTATATACCCCGTGCCGATCATTTCGAAACGATCGAAAGAGGGACAAAGAAATAAGGAATCACGAAAGCCCAACTGATCGATCGATCGGCGCGCTGTATCCTCCTGTACACACATTGTATATGTATATATACCTGTGTGTATATTACACGCGTTACACGCGGAGCCGCAAAAATAAATCATCATCAACCGGAGCATTTAATGAAACGAGGCTCGCGTGTCCATTATGCGTATCACATGTTATGCGCCTCGCGATTTTCCAACGCGTGTCCAATGTACCCCCCCCCACCACCACCTACTCATTGTCCCAGAGAGGGTTTCCTATTCAACGCACATACGCACGCGCCTGTGTGTGTGGGTAAAAAAAAAAAACAAAAAAAAAAAAGGCGCCGAGCGTCACGATAGCTGCAACTAACGGGGGAGGGATTTACCAGGACAGCCGTGACTGTATTCCCACGCCTTGTCCGTGTATATGTATATATAAACATGTGTATACCCCCGCTCGAGATATCTGCTCTACTAACTACCTGTATATTATATTATATACCTGTACCTACCTCCGCTCCGCGTGTCTTTCTTTGTACATGTATACGTATGTATACGAGAGCCGATTTTTATCGGGAGTCTCTCGCTGCGAATATGCGCTCCGTATACCGGTGGAGTGTGTGTGTGTATGTGGGTGACACCGATCGATGGCGGATGCGTGATCGCAGTGCTGTACAGGGAATGCGGCGAGTTTTCGTTTGAGAGCGCGCGACCCCCTTTACCCCCCAAACGCCGTTTGTTGCGCTATATATACATATATAAGCTACCGCATGCGCGAGCTTTTATTTTATTTTATCTTATTTTTTTTTTTCATCAGCGCGTATACCTGTACATACATCTACTTGTACAGGGTAGGTAGAGTATTAGAAAAGGATGCGTTGGCGGAGAGGAGATCGGTAAGTGTGTGTATAATATGAGTGTATGTATATATATATATATATATATACATACCGCGTGCATATATTATAAATATATACACACAAAACAGATGCCGGTTCTTTATTCCCTTTGTTCTGAAGAGAAGAGATCGAGCGGGGGGTTATTATTGGATTCCAAAGAGAGAGAAAGAAAAGGATCAGAGGTCGCGCGAGGTCTCTCTGCCTCTCTTGGTGTGTATATATATATACATTCTTGCGACCGCGTTGTACAATATATATACATACAATATATTGGGTGTTTAAATTTTCACGGGCTCCCGATGTTTGTCATATACAAGACGGGGGATGAGGGGGAATTTTTGTTTGTTTGAGGTAATAATCAAAATGTATAGGAGCATCAAAAGACGGGAATAAAAGTCGTGTACGGCTGGAAAGTGTATGGTATTGTAAAAATGTATGAAAATAAAAAAAAAAAAAATGCAGTGACTGTACAGTTTATACTAAAAAAAAATACGAGTGACCTGACGGTGCGCACCTCCGTGTACGATAATATGCTTATACGTCAATAGCAAGTATGCGGAGGAAAGAAAAAAAAAAAAAAAAAAAAAGAAAATAGTCTGATAACTAATAAATCTCGCGACACCTTGTACAAGCCGCGGGCAACGAACGCAATAATTTACCGATTTTTATTCTCACCGCTCGTAGAAGTGCGGATCGGTATGTATACGGACAACGCTCCATTGGAATTTCAGCACGTCCAGGTGGTACGAAACTTTGCAATGGCTACTATAAGTGTGCTTGTTGTCGAACAGCTTGTTGCTCATTGTTTTCCGTCCGAATTTTCGCGCTGAAATAATATATGGTGCAATATACACACGTGTGCACGCGAAACAAATGGCCGCGACGATGTTGTTTACCAGAGTTATCCTTAATTGGGGGGTAGGGGGGGCAAGATCACCGGACTCTGGTTGGACTAATTTCGCTTGCCATTGCAAGGTCTTGGCTCTCTCGGACGCGTGTATATACTTTGCGTATTATCAATTCAACGATTTATCGTCGGCGATTGCTAATTGAAATATTAGCTGTAGGTACTGCGAATTCTTGCGTCAATTTCTTCTTTTTTTTTTCATTCTGATCTCTCGTAACGCACGAGAAAAAGAAAAAAAGAAAAAAAAAAGAAATTTGTATTTAAATGATGAATGTTGAAACAAAAAAACTCGAGCGAAACGAATAGTTTTCAATCGCGTGTTATCTATGTATATATCATTCGCTAAACATTGAAACTCAATTAGAGCGCACCTTCTGCTCTTAAATTCCAAAGGTGGAGAAAGTGCAAAAAACTACACATATTCCTTCCCCCCCCCCCACCCACCTCCTCCGTTGAATTATGCAACGAATACGCGAGTGCTCCGAAACATTAAAACCCATACATCATAAATTGTGGATGGATAATAGGATGATGGGATTCAACGCTTTTTAAGGAAAAAAGGAAGCTATGTTGCATCGAGTTTGGGGGAACAGTGTTCATTTTTGATCGTCATCTGAACTCACGATCCTATATGTATACGCATGACAAATAACTTAAATGTAGCGCGTCAAACTCTTTGGAGGAGGTGTAAAAGAATTCATGAACAAAAGTAATAAGTACTGAAAAATCTTGCGTAACATTTCATTGAACGTGTCTCAGGGGGGGGGGGGGGGAAACCATCCAGCATTCGTCGCAAGCGCCAATGGTAAAATTATTCATCGATGATTAACGATTTCCCGATGCGTACGCCCCGATAAAACACCGCACAAGAGAATTAATTAGCGGCCGCTGTCGATTTGGTATTGTGTACAATTAATCGGCCGGTATTTTTAGCTTGAATAAAAAAAATGTGCAAGTAGGTATACGAGAGCGATTTTAATTGTTCGAGGAATTTGTTTAGCGCGGCCCGAGAGAAAAAAAAGAAAAGAAAAATCTCTCTTCACTCGCCGATCTCGTATCTGTATTCTCGAGAATCGTAGCTAGGGAGGGGGGATAAGTAGGGAAAAAAACATATTTCAGATCGGAATCTTTGGAGCGAATGGAAAAAAAATGCGTATACGCTTACATATCCCAACAAAGTAATAGTAACGAGTGGCTTTTTTGATTTTTGTTGCAGGACAGGACATCCGCACCGCACCTGTAATCGAAGAAAAAAAAAAAAAAAAAAAAAGAAAAGAAAGAAAAGACGGAAAACCTGATCATAGCTCCCAAGATGGACTTGACGGAGACTTTCGCGCCCAGCCATCAGGCAGGCAGCACCGGCGCCGAGGACAAGACGACCGACTACTTTGACTTTGTGGTGTCGCCACCGCCTCACTGCGCCTCGAACGCCGACGGGCCCGTCGACGAGGACGGCTTCCTCCACAGAACCGGTTGCCGCCCTAGCCTCGGCGGTTACCATCTCGGCCACCACCACAACCACCACACGGGCGGCTTCATCAAGGAAACAAACAACAACACCCTCACGGCCCTGCCCCCGGTGTCCACCATAACCGGTTCCCTCGGGCACATAGCTTCGCACCACCACCGCGCCCGCATCAGCGCCGCCACCGACGCCCTGGGCATCGACCAACACCACACCGCCGATCCGACCGACGACTGCGGCTACTGGGTGACCGATGGCGGCAAGGAGCAGACCTGCAACATCCTGCTCGAGGATCTGAACAAGTACTGCTGGACAGCGGCGACACAGGCCACGGCCGGTGAACACCAGAACCACCAGCACGGGACGACGGGCCTGTTGATACAGCGCGCGCGGGACGACGAGGTTATGGGCACGGAGCACCACCACCAGAACACCGACGGGGCCATATACACCCTTACGGTGCTCAACAGCGAAGCCAACTCGATGGACGGGCTCGACTGTTGCAAGAGCCCGACCCCCGGCTCAGGGGACGCGTGGAGTTTGCGGCCGAGCAACCACCTCGACCTCGACGCGATACTCAATATGGAGAGCAGCGTACAGGGCATCGGGGCCGACGGTGGCGCCGACACTGCTGTGCAGGTGTCGACGCCGGGCGATCGGAGGGACCAGCAGCAGCGGGTCGTGGTCACGGCCAACGGTACTTCCCTCGACAGGTATACGGTGACGACGACGCTAACGACCACGGCCTCCTCCCCGGGGGTGGTGCACTACTCGAGCGCGCCGGACGAAGCTACCTTTGTCACGATAAAAGCCGAGCCCGGGGGCGTGGGTGGGGGGCTGGACAACAACAACGATTGGAAGCTCTCGGACAGGAATAGCTTGGAGGTCCAGGTGACCGAGTCGGCTGCCGAGAGCCTCCTGAGGAATGCCTTGCAGGGCAAGCTGTACTCGACGACGGGTCTCGCTGGCGCGGCCACGAGGATACTCCAGCAGGCCGACGTTGTTCAAGGTGGTGCCGGCAACGCCGGTAATCAACAGCAGCAGCAGCAGCAGCAGCAGCAGCAGGGCCAGGACGAGACGATGGCGGTGGACGAGTTGCTGCTGTCGGAGTTGAACGTCGACGCGTACAGGGCGACGGAATTGAAGAGCATAGCGAACGAGGTCGTCGAGTCGTACTGTAACCTCGAAAACGTCTGCAACGTCCAGGCGACCACGGTCATGTACACCCTAGACCCGGCGAGCGGGAACCTCGGGACCATCACGCTTCCGGCAGATCTGGCCAACGTCGGTACGGTCACGGTCGTCACGACCGCGCCTGCACCGCCGCCTCCTCCTACTCCCACTGCTACCACGGTGCCGGTGAGCTCGTCGTCTTCCCAGCAAGCCGACGTGCTCCATCAAGGTAGGTGTACAATGTTACAATGGGATCTACATTGATTCTTGGCTTTTTTTTCCCTTCCTGATGTATTCCATCTCTCTTACCGATCAAAAGTATCTTGTTTTGTCGTTGTTGCAGTTGTTTTGTACTTCGATAAATTTAAAGTAATGTTAAAATTAAAAAATGGATACTTTATCGGTAAAGGGCTAATGAAATCTTTCATTATTATTAACGATCCCCGTTATTCTTTTATAGATACCGGTACCCAATCGACGAACAATCGGCAGCTAACGACCGGCGGTCGAGGCAGCAAACCAGCGAAAAAGTACGTGCGCCGACAAAACCGTAACTCAACGAGCAACGGTGCAACAGGAGCCGGAGCCACCAGCAACTCGACGAGCAACAACGGCAGCTCCGGGGTCGCCAGCAACGGTACCGCCGGCTCACCAGCTAGTGTCCAGCAACAACAGCAACAACAACAACAACAACAACAGCAACAGCGGAAGGAACGATCGCTTCACTACTGCAGCATCTGTAGCAAGGGCTTCAAGGACAAGTACAGCGTGAACGTGCACATAAGAACGCATACAGGCGAGAAGCCCTTCGCGTGCTCGCTCTGTGGCAAGAGTTTCCGGCAAAAGGCCCATTTGGCCAAGCACTATCAGACCCACGTCACGCAAAAGCCATCGAGCGTTGCCACGGCGGCCCAACAGCAGGCAGCTGCTGCCACAACTACGGCCAATGCAAACAACATCAGCGTAGTCACCACGAGCACTGCCAGTAACAACAGCACCAGCAGTAGCGGTAATAGTAACGCCACCACGCCAGTTGCCATAAGCAACGGAACCGGCAGCAACAGCAATGGCCCTACGAGCAACGCGAGCAGCGTCCCGAGCCCGTCAGCGCTCAAGATCTCGAGTCTGCCGATCGACGACGCCATGGAGCAGCTCCAACACATGGAGCAGGCCCAACAGATCGAGCAGATGGATCAGATCGAGAAGATGGACCAGATTGAGCAGATGGAACAAATGGAACAGGAACAACAGCAGCAAATGGACGTTGTGGCCGACTCCTCCTCGACGCCGATCGTCGTCGTCAAAGCTGCTTGCAACGCCGCCAGCTAGCTTTTGTTCGCTCGTTTGATTTATAATTATTACGCCACTCGCCAATCAATGTCTCATTTGGAAAAGGCTCGGGTTTCTCTTGCCCTGAGATTTTAACGAGACAAGAGCCACAAGTCCCCCCTGCAGTGTATTATCATAGGATAGGATAATAGCGTGATTTTTTTTTTCATGTTTGTTTTAGCTTAAGCTTTGTTCTCTGCGTGAGAAGTAAAACGCGTCCCCGTCCTCTGCTCAATTAAATAAATAGCAAATAATAGGTATTGATGAACTTGAAGCGCGTGATAAAGTTATGGTAATTCGAAAAATTCAATGAGATTACGATTGCTCTCTCTATCTTTTTACTTACATTTAGCGCGTAAATTATTTTGTTTTTTACTCCTCTAGCTACTATACGTACTCACTTGTTGTCTATACTACAAAATCACCCGAAAAACCCTCTTATTTTCGAATTTTTTGCAGTATTGACTATAAACATTATTTAATTTTTTTTACATAACTATATTGCTTACACGTTACATTTGCGCTCTTGATGCCGAGTGTGTTGCCTTTTTTTTTGACGATCGCGAGTCAACAGGGTCCAAACCAGTACTGACGAATTAACAATGAAGTAGCAAGAGATTATTAGGTTGTAAGGTCTAGCGAGTGATTTCTCGAAAAATCTAAATTTTAAGGACTATTCGGGGAGGTATATGGATGATGATTTGTGTTCCTAATATATACACGCGACTTATTGGTCGATTATCTCGTGGATCGAATGGAATAGCCAAACAGGAATGTGCGTCGATTGAGTTTGGTACATCGAGAAAGAAAATAAAGAAAAGAAAAAAAATATGAAGCAAACGACTGCAACTTTGATTGCGACGTACATGTACACGTTCTCTCTATTTTTCTCTTAGAGCTCTATAATTTTTATGCTGTACTTTTACACAATTTTCTACAGCTCTTTCAATTTCTGAAAATACTCCAGTGTGTGCACTTATGTACTTATTTTTTTAATTGTAAGTAAATTTACAATTTTTGTTTCATATGTACTTATAGATATGTGAATAAATCTAACGAGGAACGCCTAAATTTTAAGTATATAAACAATAGCATGAGCTGTGATTTAGGTACATACGCGATGATTGTAAAGGCAGAGATTTTTATCTAAGAAGACGATTGATCAAATCTTTTGAATTCTCTGACTTTTTTAATGAAATACGCATTTATTATAGTCAACTTTGTTTTTCTTGATTTTCAACGAAATTATTGACTTTGATAGACAACTTTTAAAAAAAAAATTTTTATTCTTATTGATTCACAGTAATTTTTACTAACTGCATTTCTGTTCTAAAAGTATTTAGATAGAGAACCAATTATTTTTTGGTAGCTCTTTTCATGTATTTTACGTACGTGAGTGTAATTTGTGTAACTAAAATTTATTTATTTGTATGCTTGTAAGAATGGTTTTTCGGGTCTTGCGTGCAATGTTTTTGTTTTGTTTTAATTGTATAAAAATTATAAAAGTAGAGGATTGTAACGAGTAAATTATTTCGCAAAGTGTTCAAAAAATCACACAACTCCGTATCTTACGTTTAAATAATTTTACTTCTACTCTATCTGCTTTTTGCTTATCTAGGATTTTTTTTCCATCGTAAAGGTAATTCAACGAATCGAACTGTTTTGTGCCTTTTTTTCCATTCTTTCTCTCTGATTAAAATGAAAAGTTGTGAGAAAAAGTGCAATCCAGAGTTACACGCAGAATTTAATTCATTATCAACAATTAGCAAGCAATTTTATAACTTAAGATCGATACACACTCAAAGTGAAATAATTTTCATTATTAAGAGCAATTTTACCTCTCTTAGTTATTATGTAGTCGCAACGATATTACTAGTAAATGTATTGTTATTTCACAGTAGGTAGGCCTTATTACGAGCTTAATATGGATCCGAGTCACATTTGGTAGAAATCGACGAGAGTGAGAGGCGCTGAGTTTCAAGCTTTCGAGCTTTAGAAATAGAAGAGAAAACAACGAATGAAAAGTTACTATCGTTAACGCTGTAGACACTACAGAACTTGTACTGCTTATCACTGCCATGTCTTTCCCTGTTCGATGAAAGTTGGAGACTTGTTGGATACTGTTTAAGAAAATTTTCACTTAAAACTTCACCAATTTTGTTTTTTTGTATTTTAGAAGCCTAAGCCCTTATAAACCATACCGAAGGTGACTCAGATACTTGATACAGAGCTTGCAATAAGTTTTAGTGAGTACCGAAGAGATAAATAATAAACAAACGAGATTACGTTATTGAACGTTTTTTAAATTACGTAAGACATAGGTAGATAATATTAATATCACGATAATTATAATACTCAAAATGACTTTAGTAATAAATTATTTTATTTTTATTTTAAACAACGCTCTCTTATAATTGAAAACAGAGTGATGAATCATCAGCGTATTATTATTATTACTATTACTTTTTTTGTAATAAAATGCATGAATCGCAACTAAGGATTCATCATTTCAATGAGTTACCATGGTAACAATAAACGATATGCTCACTTTTTACATACACTATACCTCTAACTTAAAAAAGAGACAACTATTATGTTTTTATCCTATACATGATGGTAGAAAGACAAAACGTGTACGAGCGAGATTTACATATATTTATATAATGAAAGTTATTTTTTTTATTTAATAAGTGCTATAAGAATTTTCAGGCCTTTGTCATGCAAGGCACATGACAATTTAAATAGAATATAACGAAAAAAATACAAAAAAAAATACAAAAAAACATTGATGTACAATCATATAAAACGAAAAGTTTCAAATAGACTGCGTGATGGTTTCGAAAAAAAAAAGCTTGGTCTTTGGATTCTCGATGTTCGATCCTCTGACCATTACTGTTTAAAATGTAAATGTTTTTTTTTGTAACTTATAAAAGTTAATGTTTCATTAAACCAAGAGTTTTATTGTATATAAAATTTTATATTTTGTTTGTATACCGAAATACAGAGAATTTAGCTCGAGAATACAACATCTCGTCTCTGTAGTACAAAAAAAAAACACGAGCTCAGATTTTTTATTGTACTTAAAAGAAAAATAAATGATGATAACGAATGTGAAATGTATTGATATTATATGGAAGGGACACGCAAAAAACGAGACAACGAAGTTTTTAAAAGACAATAATAGAAAAAGTAAAAAAAAAGAGACCAACTAAGGCGAAATATGATAATGAAAAAGAAAAATATGATGTTACAAATGAATAAATGCTAGAATTTAACTTTTGTTATAACGGAGTCGTAACGCATATACATATATGTATATGAATAAATTTATATGTACTTTTGTATTCATACACGTACGCATATTATATGTATATATATAAATAAATACGTTAGTGTATGCGTAAACGAAAGACACAAGATGAATTTTTTGATTGTTTTCATCAAATTTAAGACAATCAAGATAGACAAAAGTAAAAACTAAGAACTTCCCTGCGTCTACCCGATGCATTTACAGCACTGCGAATACATGATTATACACACTTAAACTGATGTATACAAATTCATTGCTTTAATATAAACGTAAAAAAAATATAGATGCTTCGATGGCGCAATCCCATGGATAATGCATTCGATACGCGCGTACGTGTCATTGACGGATTTTTCAATTTTCCTCCCATCATCATCTTTTCATTGCGCAATACAACGAACAGATTGTATCTGCGAGCCGATATACTATTATTATAATATTATGTACCATATGGTCGCGTCGGTGAGACGAAGTTTGTCTGATTTAAAAATTTTGGAGTCTGTATTATTCATACCTTTTGTTTTGAATCCCATCTCGATTGTTCTCGACATGCACCTTATGTTGTTTTAATATGTATGCAGCTGCAGCTATTTTACTTAAAAAAATACTCACTACATTTACTTGTACTGAATTTTAGTTGAATTCATCGAGCGTATCTTTGTATTTTTTGTATTGACAAACGAAAAATTATGGTAAACAGAGACGAAATGGAGAGCGACTTTTTTCCCAGGGAAAGAGCATATTGAGATTAATTTTATATAGACGTATACCCGAAAAAGTTACTACACCCGAATCTCAAAAAGTAGTGCTACGAAAAATGGCTCTAAATAAAAACAAAAAAAAACAAAAAAAACCATTTAAAATGATGTATTGACTCAATCATTGTGACCATCCCCAATCGCTAGTTGTTAAATTATTGCAAGATTTAAACGTGTTATAAAATATCCATAGTTATGAATAGCAATAAAAGTTGTAACATTAAAATATCTGCAGATATTACCCTTTATAATATAGTTTAAAAAATTATAATAACGCGCCAGCGCGATAAAAGACTCGGGACGCATATTATATACAATGTAATATGTTTTAATGCAACGATCGACGAGAAGATATATGTGTGTACTTATTTTTGTACCTACTTTTAATAAAAGTTTGTATGCTTTTTTGTATTTAAAACTGCCTGGATTTTTCTCTTCGTTAATTAACACATCCTACTCCTGTGTTTACACATTTTTTAAATGTTTTGTAAAAACCTGCACTGAAAAATTTACAAAAACCAATATAGCAACAAAATTAAAGTATATTGCGACAAAACGTATTTTTGTAAGTTATTTAAAAATTAAAAAATTTTAAATTTAGTTGGAAGCTCTTGGGAGTGGTGGCGCTAGTGTAAGGTTAGTGTGGCGCGTCACTAGTCGAGTCGCCAAGTTTGGTGAAGGTTAGGGAGCCAATGTTTACATTATCGGTTTGAACAATGAATCCAAAGCCGAGGACTGTTTAATGAAGCCAATGGATAACGGTTAACAATCGAGTGGAGTTTAATTATATTTCGAGCTATTTGGTCCATCCGTTGATTCAACTTGTAATAGAAAAAACAGCGAAAATATGAGTGTCTCAGGGACAGCGTCGCCGAGATTGAAGGCCGATTTGTACTTGGCTTCGTTGTTGTACGATGGTGTCGAGGATACTAATTTGAGGTAAGTTTTTGATGAGTTTTTCGTCTCATTATGGGAAAAAAAATCTCGATCAATCGAGTTTTATACGAAAACATGGATTTTCTTATCATCAGACAGGTGACAACTCTATTGAAGAACAAAGAGGCTGATCCAAATGTGCTGATGCCGATGCACGGAATCACTCCGTTTCACCTGGTCATTGGAAATGATTCTGAATCTTTTGCCGAAGAAGTGACCAAACTGTTTCTGAGATACGGGGGAAATCCCAACATCAAGTACGTTTTAGTTTTTTTTTATTAAATTCACGTTTTATTAAGAATAAGAGTGCAATTGATTCGAGTTAAGGTCCGTTGATGGCATGACGCCGGTTCACATAGCAGCTGCCTGGGGGAGAACGCGCATTTTGGAACTGCTACTGGCTAACGGAGGCGATCCTTTTTGCCTTGATTGCGATTACTACACTCCGTTTACGTATGCTTTTCAAGGGGAACATCATGATGCCATTAATGTACTGAGCAAATATTGCGCTAGCAGCGAGGAAAGAGATGAGGATATCCAATATAGACTTGAATTAGGTGAGATTTGACGATGGAAAATTTTTTTGTATCAAAAAGTGTATAAATCAATTACTTATTACTTTTTTTAGACAAAGTCCTATTGAATAACGGTGAAGTACTGGCAGAGTATTTAGTATCAGACGGTTCTATAAGTGATTCGTACAAAAGTGGTTCTTCTACAGGTAGTTATAACAGATATGACAGTAAAAGCAGATGTGGCTATGTTTCAGAAATTAATTCATTAAGCTCGAATTCGATGAATAGTTATTTTGTAACCCTTCGAAAGAATCAAAGAAAAAGAGCAGTTGCACAAAAGGTTGGTAACATACAAAAAATACAAGAAAAAGAAAACTATGATTTTTCTCCAAATACAATGCAGGAAGAGTTGAAACTACTCAGTCGTATTATTTCACAACTATCGAATTCATTGACAAGTGAAGTAGATGCGAGCAATTATACATACCAAAGCCACGAGAGCGAATGCATAGTGAGCAACGAAATCAATTCCCCAAAGCGAATGCAGATGATTATGACCTTCAACAGGCCTGTAAAGAATAATACCAATTATAACAAGCACAGGCAAAACCAACGAAATATTAATGAAAATCACACAAGTATAAAAACGCTGCAGCCAATCAAGCAACACAACAATGTGCCAAAATTAAAAGAAAATTGGAAGTCCGCGACTGGCCCCAGAAAATTGTCGACTTTTCTTTCTACGAAAAACTGTTCTACGTCATCATCAGCCAAAAATAACACATCTAGTCAATCCAAGCCACATACTCCAAGTAGAGACTCACTGCATTCTCACTGGTTTGACGAGACGATAATTAGCAAATCTCCAAATTTACATGTTACCGTCAATTCAAACAAAAGAAACAAAAATATACAACCAAAGATTCCAGTCTTGGAAAAAAATGCGTCGCCACTGTCTACCAAAGTACAGAAAAAGCCAATCACAATCACTCATAAAAAAGTCATGGACAATAGCACAAACAAACCAAATAGCAAGTCTTACACACCCGGTAGCCGTATACCTCGTCCAAAAACAGTAGTAAAAAAAAGCAAAGTCACGACAAAAAAACCTGCAAAGCCTAAAGTTAATTCGTTGAAAAAAGTATCAGAGGAAAAGAAGACCAGGTATTATTCTCCTCAAAATGTTTTATATAGTATGTCCGAATCTTCAGCTCTGTCATGGTCTAATGACTACCTATCTAAAAATCCGGAAGAAAGAAGAAAAAGTTTAAAAGAAGTGGCTGTTAATTTGAGCAATCGGATGGACGATTGCGAAGAAGATGAAGTTTCTACAGACAAAAGTTGCACAAATATTTATAAAAACACCAATACTAATTTTAACATGGTTCTGGAAAGATTAGATTTGGTATCTGGAGTGCAATTGCTCGACTCTGCTGTAAAATCATCAATATCAGACTCACAGTCAGAGTACACCACTAACGAGGAAAGCACTGGAATAAGAGAACCTACCATAGATTTAAATCAAGCAGTAATAGATTCTTTACAAAGCACACAGTCGACATCGAAATTCTCAGATTTAGATGTTGGGAGTTTAAGACGTGGCGAACATATGGATCCACTCGACAGTATGTTGGGTCAGCAAGGCTCGTCGTCGTCGATTTCATCTGATAGCTACATTTCAGTGCCAGGCGCAGATAACGCGTTGTCTGATAACAGTCAGAACATTGTCAGTATTAATAAAAATAATAATTGTGATTCGGAGCCAGTCATATCGGCTGATGGCTCCACGAATTCGAGTAGACAATTTGACTCGCAATCATTTTTGAGTGTTCAAGAGGAGTATAAGTACAAGGATCCTGACGAGGGTGTTGTTCTCCTAGAGAGACGACTCTATGTTTCACCGTCTTAGTAAGTATCTCATTTCTTTTCTGATAAAAATTATGTACTCTCAAAAATTTTATAAAATTGATCTTATTCTCGCTTTCAGTACTTCCTCAAGTATGAGTTCCTTCTACTCCATCAGCACTGCCAAGTCTGAGTCACTGCCAACCGAGTTGTATCTCCTTGACAATGGAACATTACGAGAAAGATTAAAGAGCCTTGGCGAGAATCCAGGACCCGTCACCAGTGCAACGTATCACTTGTACCTTAAACGTCTTCACAAACTTGAATCTGGAGAAAGGCAACCCACAAAACCTGTCCAAAAGCATAATCTTCTAATAACCAATAATCAACATAATCAGTTAGTTAGTTTGGAAAGAGAAAAAGATCATTTGCGACCTATGCTGGTATCAATAGACTGGGTCCAACGAGTAAATGAGTACGAGGAACTAGAGCGCAAAGTCTTTCTGGAGTTCTCTAATCCACATCCGTCGCGCAAGTGGCGCGAAGGTACTTCTAAAAGCTCGTTCAATTACCTGCTTCTCGACCCACGTATTACCAAAGATCTGCCCAGAAGAGCAGCGAGTATGAGTCTTTCTGAAAAATGGGAGACTTTTCTATCGGCTATTTTTTACGTGGGCAAAGGAAAACAATCCAGACCATACGCCCATCTCTACGAAGCCTTCAAGTTGTGGGTGTGCAGGGGTCGGTCCAAGACGAATAATAGCAAGTTGCAAAGGATCCTGGATATTTGGGACGAAGGCAAAGGGGTCGTCATGTTGCGCGTCTTTCAAAACACAATACCTGTGGAAGCTTACACGCGAGAAGCAGCTATGATCGAGGTCCTGAGTACCAACAAATTGGGAAATTGCAAGAGCGGCGATTACTACGGGGTCGTAGCAACTTGGAGAGCGAAGGAAAAGTGCGAGCTAGGCCGATATATGTTGTTCAAAGCAATGCAGATATTATTATTAGAGGGAGAGCGGCAAATATTTCCTGATAATGTGTAGTTTGATTTTTATTGTGTTCATGATAAAATCATAGAATGCATGTTGATGCAGTGTGATCGAGATTATTTTAGGTAGAGTTATATTAAAGATATTACATGTGAAATTTATTTCAAATATAAAGTATAGTCCAAATTTTTTTTAGATCTAAATGAAGAGTCATTCATACATTGTTCAGATCGCATTGATCAGCTTTGAAAAGATTAAGTGTTTCAACAACATACATGGTGTAATGAATAATTAAGGTAATTTAATTTTTAATCTTGACACTGTAGAGTACAAATTTTTACAGAAATTAATCTCAAAGTCACGAGTTAGCGTAAGATTCATAGTAAATCCTGTATTTTATCGAGTGTAAAATTTAAAAACGATTAAATTACAGTAATTATCCAATAATGTTGCAATTGAAATTTTAAAATTCACTTGAACTACTTAATCAAGTCGTCCTGTCAAAATGAGACAAACGATTATAACATTTTTTTAGTTTTATGCTTTAAAAAAAAAATTTTCTTAAAAGTTTATTGTCTATTTTCTTTTATACATTGCATTTAACAACAATGTGTTGTTTATAGCTCATTGTGTTTGATAAAAAATAAATAAATCAATATAATGGGATACAATGATCGCGAATAACAGAATTATGAACCAAATTTTAGTGATTTGCGGAAATTTGAAAATTCATTAATTCATAACATAAAAACGGATTCGAGATGTGGAACTTGCACGATTTTTCTGTGATTAGAATTCTCGCCAACAATTCGATAGATGTAATGAATGAACGCAATAATATCAATAAAAGAAAAAAAAATTGAGCAAGCGCATTGCCGTTGTGATTGCAAGCCCAAAGTAACTTACCGCGCGCCGAGACTCAACGACCAATCACAATGTATTCTTCTGGAAAAGCACCAACGTAACTCTGCGAGACTCTATTTTCAAATTTGTATCACTTGTTTCATTTGATGAATCATATAAGGCCCCTTCACTACAGCTAATTGCTCTTTTGTTTTTGATTAAAATATACTGATACATCAAATGTATAGATCAAGACTTCTGGTATCCACTTAAACGACGTCATTGTTCCGATTGTTTGCAAGAGTCTGTTGTACACAAAGAAGAGGGACTACATTCACTACTCGTACACTTTGGATTTGAAAAAACGAGGAAAACGTCCATTTGTTGTACTAGAGATAAAAAATGTCAGAACCTTCGCATTAATCGTCGTTTAATCGTATTTTTGTCTGTAAGTGTTTTGTCTACCATTCCATTTAACTGTGCGAATGAATGATGTGTGATTGTTATTGTGTGTTATTTGAAAAAAAAGCTAGTGAAAGATAGACAGAAGAATAACGAAAAAAATGGCCAACACTGGTGCTTCACGAATTCCGATCTTTTTTTTGTTTGGCAGAGGTTATCGCAGCGGATTTTCAAAAAAAACAACGCTTTCGAAACATTGATTCCAGATCTGATTTACCTACCAGAGTTATCGGGACCGTAGGCGGCCGAGGGTGAGTTCCTTAAGATTATACTTGAATAATGTGTGTATAAACAATCATAAGAAATCTTGATACGAGACGCGTCACTGACTTTGTCAGTACAGCAGTATTTTTTTACCAGGGGGTTTTTTAAATATCAATTTTCATTTTAATGTATCAGCATTTCAATACATGCAATTTTATAGATCGTGCGATTTATAGGGTATACTTTTTAAAGTATCTATTTAATATGAGCATTATGATATTTTTTCAGTAGTTTTTAGCAACTGCTTGGTTTTTTGGTTCGGTAATGTTTGGTTTTGGTACGTAATTAGGTACAATTTTCTTGATTAACAAAAACGTATCTGTATGTATTTTAAAACTGAACTGAATACCAAAATGTCGCGCACAGTTATAAGTTTGATGTACTTAATTATTTGAAAAAATCTACTTTTAATTCAGTGTTTCATATATTTATTTATTTTGTCTTTTTTATTCGTTAGGTGTGCGCCAATACGCAAGCAGCTTATTTATTTAAACACCAATTCGATACTCGAGTCTGACAGACAGTTTGAAAGGAATCGAAACAATATAGTTAAAAGAAGTCAGCATTACTTATGACAAGAATTGAGAGTTCTCATATGATTTTTTTAACCGTATTACTCATCTTACGAAAAGGCCGAGGATACAATTTTCACGAGAATTTGGCAGAAAAAATAAAAAGAAAAAAAATGATATGATTTTTTATGTAAAAGAATAATTTTAAAAAAAATTATATTTGGCGTTTTTTAATAACCCTTTATTTAAAAATTAATTTATGTGTTAGTCATAACAACTATCATTTGTGTTGTACACTATTGTACCCATCTCTTTCCATTAATATTATCTTTGACTTTTAAAATAACTTATCAAGTTTTTCTGTATCACACACTATTGAATTGCTTACTTTCTTTCTTATTATTATATCAATTTTAGATTGAGAAATCATTCGTCTGAAGCTTACATGATAATCATGGAAGAGAAACGTAGATTTTTGTTTGGAATACTTTTAAAAAAACTGCAGATAACATTGCAATATTTTCACAAATTGTAAGTTGCAAGTACTTCTTGAATGAATCACTAAATAATTATGTTTTAACTTACCTATAAATATTTTTTTAATAGTTTTTTGCGTGTCAGCTAAACAACCATTGATAAAAAAAAATTACCAAGTTCCATTGAGAAGACCATTCAAACAAACATAATTATGTGCAAAAATTTTAATGGATTCGAAAAAATTTTATTTGCACGAAGACCTCAACTAACATATATTGTATTGAATAATATAAATAAATAAATTTTTTATCCTATCCTTTTTTTCATCAATATAATAATATTGGTAATTTAATTGGCAATCAACAATATTACAATAATGTATTTTTGTATTATTCATGTATTTTTTATACAAATGAAAGTAATGATGTACGTATTTAATAAAGCAGTATAAAAAGCCCATGCTCTACAAAATAAAAAGTGCAATAACTTGATGGTTACTCAATAACTACTAATGTAAATTTTTTTTTAGACATTTTTGTTACAGGTATCGTAATGATCGTTGAAAAATGATGTGCTGAGATACTGTGGCAACAAATTTCTTCAAATCACGTGATATTAACTTTTTTTATAACATTTTAACCAGTAGTTTTGCATGTTCTAACACTCCACTTAGTTTAAATTTTCACGAAGCGAATTATATTACTGTTAAATTCCGACTTGCAATAGTTTTTAATTTTCATTTTGAATAAGAAGTAAAAATTATGTACTGAGCAATATTTTTTGTTTTGCAATGTTATAGGAGGAGACATGCTGGTCATCCAAAACGTAATCGGTGGTTTTGCTGCTGGCTACGAGTGGGACGAGTCACTATTTGAATTTTTGAACAGTACAGGTATTTGTTTAACAATCACAATCATTTTGTTCTTAAAAAAAAAAAAAAAAAAAATACTTTCCATACTTGTACAATTTGTAGACTTCAAGGAAACATCCTACCCAGATCTGGACTTCAACCTTGAAGAAAAGAAATTTAAAATAGAATTAAAAAAACAATGTCGTAAGTTCTGATTTTCTTAATACTTTTTTTTTTAATAATAATGTTTGATCAAATTTATTTTTTATTGTAGGCCTCAAGAGATTAATGCAACACTACTGTGTGGACTGTCAACAATTATCAGACATCACATCAGCAAAATACCACAGAACTGGCAAGAAATGTGAAAATAACGGTTGTAATGGACTATTACTCTACAAATGTATCGAGTGCGGAAGAATGTTTAAAGAGATCTTTAGGGCGTATAAGCATCTCCGAGATACCTGTAGTAAGCCCAATGCAGTGCATAATAAATCTTTACCGAGACTAACGCGTGACGTCAGATACAATCCTTACAACAAGGATGGATTCAAGGAGGCATTTACCTTCCCTTGTTCAAAGTGCGAGAGGAAATTTACGACTTTCAAAGGTCAGGCTTGTCATGAAAAACGTTATTGTAAATACGCGACCTCGAATGTTAATTGGACGGAAACTGCGTCGGATAATCTCATGGATTCGACTTCGGCTCCAGCAGGTATTAACTTTACTTGTCCAAAGTGCGACGAATGTTTCCTGACCACTAGAGGATTGAAAGTTCACATCTTTCGTATGCATAGTGGCACGATAAAGAAATCGAGTGATTCTTGTCCCAAACTAATCACTAAAAATGTTATATCTGAATTTTCAGCTCCAAAAAGTGACTTTGCTTGTTCAAAGTGTGCTCGAAACTTCCTAACTCTGAAAGGGTTGAAAATTCACATGAGTCATCGATGCGGCAAGAGCGACAATTCTAGTGATTCGTGTCCAAATGATCCTACTGAAAATGTTGACAACTATGTTGAAGTTGATGATGATGATCAAACTTTGGCTCCAAAAAGTAACTTGACTTGTCAGACTTGTGACCAAAGTTTCCAAACTCTTAAGGGGTTGAAAATTCACATGAGTCATCGATGCGGCAGAAGTGAAGAGTCGAGGGTTGGTTCTCCAAGTACTCATACTATCAAGATTGAGCCAACTTCAGCCACGAATAGTGATTTTCCTTGCCAGAAATGTGATCAGAGTTTCCTGACTTCCAAGGGGCTAAAAATTCACATGAGTCATAGATGTGGCAAGAGCGAAAAATCTGGAAGTTTTTCTTCAACAGCTCCCATTGACAATATTGACAATCAAACTTCTGCTCCAAAAAGTAATTTGACTTGCCAAACTTGTGACCAAAGCTTCCAAACTCCTAAGGGGTTGAAAATTCACATGAGTCATCGATGCGGCAGAAGTGAAGAGTCGAGAGTTGGTTCTCCAAGTACTCATACCATCAAGATTGAGCCAACTTCAGCCACGAATAGTGATTTTCCTTGCCAGAAGTGTGATCAGAGTTTCCTGACTTCCAAGGGGTTAAAAATTCACATGAGTTATGGATGCGGAAAAAGCGAACAATCTAGTGATTTTTCTTTGAAAGCTGCTATTGAAAATGTCGACCATCATACTCCAGAGCCCAAAAGTAATTTGATTTGCCAAACTTGTGACCAAAGTTTCCTAACTCCTAAAGGGTTGAAAATCCACATGAGTCATCGATGCAGTAGAAGCGAATACTTGAGGATTATTTCTCCAAGTATTCAACTGGAAGATTGCATCAAGACTGAGCCAACTTTAGCAACAAAAAGTGAATTTCGCTGCCAGAAGTGCGATCAAAATTTTCTGACTTCTAAGGGACTGAAAATTCACATGAGCCATGGATGTGGCAAGAGTGTAAAATCTGATGGTTTTTCTCCAAAAGCTATAACTGAAATCGTTAAGAATCAAACATCAGCACGAAAAAGTAACTTTCCTTGTCCTAAGTGTAACCAAAACTTTCTGACTTCCAAGGGGCTAAAAATTCACATGAGTCATCGATGCGGCAGAAACGAAGAGTCGAGGGTAGTTTCTACAAATATCCAACCAATAGATACCATCAAGATTGAGTCAACTTTATCAACAAATAGGGACTTTATTTGCCATTTGTGTGACCAAAATTTCCTGACCTCCGAGGAACTAGAAATCCATATGAGTCTAGAATGTGAAAAGAGCAAAGATGCAGATGCAAGTGTTGTGGCTCTGAACACTCAATCAGATACTACTGTTAAAACTGAGCCAACTTCATCAACGAGCAACTTTTCGTGTTCCAAGTGTGACCGAACTTTCGAGAGCATATATGGTTTGAGATCTCACATGAGTATGAGTAGTCTGTGTGGCAAGAATTTTAAGAAAAAAAGGGCTTCCCAATTTAGTTTTCGCAAAATTTCTCGAAAGCACGTTAGTAGTTCCTTATTTTGTCCAAAATGTAGCAAAAAATGTGTAGGCATCATTGGTTTGAGATTACACCTGAATCGTTACTGTATCAAGAATGACGATGTCTCCCATACTACTGGTCCACCAGCTTCCGTTTCAACAAATGAGTCGACACATCAGGATCCAACTCCAAACAGTAGTTTTGCATGTATAGACTGTCGGCTCACCTTTTCGAATATCAATGCTTTGAGATGTCATGTTAATTTTCACTGCAAGAAAATGAAATCTCTGAACACCACCACATGTGAAAAGTGCTTCCAAAAATTTGGATCAGTCAAAAGATTGAGACTTCATCGTCATTTTTGTCCTGTATTAGTTAACAATTTCAATGCCACCAGGAGAGATGGACATGTCCCGGTCGATAGCCCTGAAATTGATCAATCAACTGTAGCAGTGCAAATTAACAACCCAAGTAGAAACGACGATCCGGCTATGCAAGTTGATGCAGTTAACAACTCCAATACTGATAAGAAGCCAATTCTGCAAATTAATGATTTTATTGAGAATCAACCTTTATGGAAAAGGTAACTACGAAAAGCAGTAAAAGAAATTTGATGCTTTAACGTAGTTAATTAAAATTTTCTGTGTAATTTTTTTGTGTAAATTTTTTTCTCAAGGGACAAGATGAATGCACCATACTTGTGCACAGAATGTCAGCAGAGCTTCACGAGCCGCAAAACCTTAAAGGTTCACGAAAGTACTTGCACGGTGGGAATTGATATTCACAAGTGCAAAAATTGTGCTTTCAAGAGCAAGAGTAGAATAGGCTTGAAAATACATCTTCAAAAAATCCACAAGGGATCCCATCCATTTGATTGTTTGAATTGTCCATCATGTAATTATAAAACGAGTTATAAGTATAATTTGATACAACACAAAAAACAGTGCCATCCTGAAAATGAGTTTGTCAAAGCTTTGGGTGACCATGGCTATTCTAAGTAATTAATGATTCTTTCCTTTTTTTTTTTTTAAGTACACATAATGACACTTGCCACGGGTTTAATTGGGAACTTTAAAAAAAAACCCACTGGAACATATCACTCCTTTTTTTTTTCAAGTATATTTTTACTGGTAATAATATGGTTTTTATTAAATTATTACAAGCATAGTTAATCAACCGTTATGAAAAAAAAAAAAAAAACTGTTAATCATTTATTCTATTATAAATTTCAAAAGTTTGCCATCATTTTAAATGAGGAACAAAGCGACTATTATAGATTTTAAAAATGTCTTGCGCATGAACAAGTTTAGTATTGTAAGTGCATGTGAATATTACATATTCTACTTTTCTAAATGTTAATACCTACATAATTTTTATGTAAATAAAAACCTTTAGATTGTAAATCGATCGAAATTTTCGATCTTTCTAATTGGATCAATCAGTTTGTATTAATAAAAAAAATAAATGATAGATTGAGTGCTTATATCATTGCTACTTGAAAAAAAAATTCAAATTTTTAACTTGAAAGAACAAAAAAAAAATACTTTTCAAACTTAAAAGACCATGAAAATTCTTATAAGCTACACTATTCTTGAATATTTTATTTTTATTTTCATCCTTGTAAGTCTTTTGAGTGACCACAAAAATTATCAAACTTATCAAGTAAACATTTATCACAACTACATTTTTATTCCCAAATTCAAATAACACCGCCTAGAAGGTATACATACCTATATATGTGTTGTGTGCACGGCTTTTTTACGAATACTAGCACTGGCCAAAACATATAACGTGTTATTTCAATGAAATAAACTTGAATTGTGTTAACCTTCGTAATTCACAGCATAATACGTAGCGGCGTAGCGCAGTCGGTAACACACAAAACTTATGTGACTCAACCCTAAACTCAAACGAGCGTCGATTTTTATCGACTCCGACCCTCGACAAGTCGACAGTTTCAACTCACCAACTCACGTCACGGAACGTACTGCGAATGTACAATTTGAGTGAACAGGACAGGGTGTCAATTTTTTGGGTTGTTGAAAGTGAAATAAGTACTGGCAAAAATACTGGTCTGATGTACTGTGCGCTTTATCAAGTACTTATAAGTACCTAGTTATAGTTTATAACTCGTTCGCGTGATCGTGTATCCTGCAGACCCTACAGTAGCCATCAGGCTACAGTAGTCTGCACTCGTGAACAGGGTGCTAGTATAAGAACAAGGAATTTGTAATTTGTTTATAAGTATCAAATTGGAATTCGAGATCAAATTTGATTGAGGTAGGTGACGTATTTTTACGAGCTCCCCCATTTAGTGTTAAATAATTTTTTTTTTTTTTCGTTAACATTCGGCGATTACCTGTTTGTTGTATTATTATTAGACACTCTCGGATTCTCGGTTGGCTCGCGTGCTCCGATGGGCTTGGCTGTTGCATTGCTTATCAATCGTTTTATCTATACTCATTAGGCAGGTAATAGGGTGTTGTTGGTGCTGCTTCGAACGTTTGAAGGATCAAATTATTACATCCGTCATCGTTCTGTGTATTATGTATTTTCGTAGCCACCCTTATCCGAGTATCCTTTATAACTCTATAGAATATATATACTTATAAGTTCCTACATACACCATATAGATAATCACCTACCTTCCTACCTACAACAACATCGGTGTTCTCGGTGTGATTTAATTAATGGAGGCATTGGAGGCTCGCTCTGTTATACCTACGTTTGTATTTGATTGTCTTTTATGGGACTTTGATTGGGTAGTTATGTAATTTGCAATCAAAGGTATTATTAGATTCCGGCAGCTAATTTATTTATAAATTAAGAATATGGTGTTGCATAATGAAGTGAATATTAGCTTCTTTGTTGTGCTTGTGTATATGTTGACCCATAATTCGATACTCAATACTTTGTCGCAAGTTCAAGAGGTATTTTTATGTCAAGAAAGATTTGATCACGAAGCAGTTTAACAATTTGAATTTTTTTTTTAAACACTTAGACTTGAGAAATGGAATTTTTTATTAAGAGAAATATACATGGTGAACAGTGCAATGTAAATAAAAAAGCATACTTATTTCAGGTCTGAAATACGTGATTTCCCCACATTCCTGTTCGAAGACAAGATTACAAAAATAAAATGGGTAAGAAACTATAATCAAGTATTATATAATAATCTATATGTAAATAAACTTTAGGTTTAAGTTTTTATTATTTCTTGGAGTGTCTTTACACTCAGACTGCAAAAAAAAACTATGTAAGTAATTTTAATGATGAACTGATAATTCCAGAAAGAATTGCACTTAAAATTGAAACTGCACCAGATGGCACAAATCAGATGTTTGCTCAACCAATTATGAGTAAGCATGCTTTAACAAATACTTGTTCTTGTTTTTAATTTTTTAATGTTTACTTTTTTTAGAAACAGTAGTAACCAATGTAAAGTTTTGTCTTTTACTTTGATTTAAAATATTAGAAATTCGTATAATTAAATATTATGCTCTACTTTTATAAACGATTGATTTGTTTTTTTGTTTAACTTTTTTAAAACTTTTTTTGATTTCTAATATTTTAAAGTTAAAGTTTTTGACAAGACTTTGTGTTACATTTTTAACATGGGTCTTGAATATAAATGTTTTGCAGCTTACTCAACTAATATTCCATATAATTCTTTATTCAAAGAGGAACTCATAATTATTGCGGATGATGGTACTAATTTTTTTGGTAAGCTTATTTTAAAGTTTTTTATCATACAACATATCTCATTTTTTAAGTCAAGTGATAAAAAATGTATTATTATAGAAAAACAGCTGCCAACTAACTCTCAAATCATTCAGCCAACAAATGCTACTTATGAAAAACTAGTGCCAGGTATTTAGTATTTACCAGATTTTTTAAGTATAAATTTCAAATTGATGTAAACATTGAATCTTTGTCTTCTAGTTGTTGCCGAGCAAGTGACAGCAGATGCAACCGTTGCAAATATTCTTAATCTAGGCTCAGAGTTAACTGTAGCTCAAGGAAGAACTAGTGAGTATTGAATACTTGTACGTTTTCAATACAAATTGTACCGTGGAAAAAATGGAAATCAAAATGACACTACTTTTCAGAAATAAAATGCGAGTTGTACTGCGTTCAGTGCGATCGAATACTCGACGAGGAAACAATTGTCCAGAAGGAGAATCTCGAGTGCAAAGAGTGTAACACTCGGGTACAGTTTAAATGCAAGAGCTGTCCAAAACGGTACGACCAGCTACGGGCACTGCACCGTCACATACGATACGAGTGTGGCAGTATCAAGCGCTACCACTGTACCCATTGTCAATTCAAATGCATCCGCGAAATCCATCTTGATTTGCACATCAAGAAGAAGCACGATGCCGAGTACTGTTTCAAGTGCTCCAAGTGCGGAAAGGTATACGACAAGCGGTGGTGCCTCAACGAGCACGAGCGGTCCTGCGAAATGCCGCTCAAGTGCGAATTCTGCTCGTTCAGAACGACCCAAAAGCAGAGCCTCAACTATCACATAGGAGCAATTCACAAACTTGCCCACAACGTCTTTTAGTAAGACTGATGCCTGCCAGAGTAAGATTCATTCTTTAATATTCTGATTCTTTTCTTATGGTATTTGTAATAAGAGTTATAGCTGATTTATTCCGAGATTTTTTAAGTACGGATAACAAAAGAATGAAAAAAAGATTTGTTTGTTTCCATAAAGATATGAGTGTTGGTATATATGTAACGTTAATACCTGCTTCGAGCATATTTTATATTTTTCTAAAATATAACCGATACTTATACGTAAAAACTGAGATGATTTTGTAAAACGTGAGAAGAAACAGTTCTTTTTATACTTTTTTCAAGAATATACACCATAAACATTTTATATGTACTTTACAAGTAGGTGACGACTACAATCCATTATGATTCATTAAAATTTTACAAAGATCTGATTAATTGAGCTTTGATCAAAAGAAGCTATCGTGTTGTGAATCTAAGGGTACATTTATATACCAATGAACTAATTAACAACTAAAAAGAAATAGATGTTATAGATGTGATAAAACAACCCCATTTAAATTATTGTGACCGAGAATGTTATTCTTGTAGAAACATTCTAAATGTACGAAATTTCATTCCGTCGATTTATCGTTCATCCAATGAATGTAACAAATGATTCAGAAACCATTATTCAGTGATTGAAATAAAGTATCGATTGGTTCAACAATTAATAGAAACCTAAAGAAAATTTTTTTTCTTCAAACGTTCTTAATCTAACTACACTCATGAAAATGTTTACTATATCCTAAGTGTTCTACAGTAGAGTATATAATAATATAGCAAAAAGTATACAGCTCGCATTTTTTGAACTTGCTACAGCTTGTGTCATCAATAAACATAACTAATAATTAAAGTATAAGTGCGTTCATAAAGATTAACTTGATAAGAAAAATTTTAAATAACATCCCTCCATCATTTCCTTTTTTGAGAGTAAAAACAAACCATTAACTCTTTTAGCTCTAAGTTTAAACATAGGTAATGTGTATTGTTAATCTTAAGTAAAGTTACAATTGTTAAAACTAATTAAAAATTTTGATACAGTAATCAATAACTTCGTCTTCTGTTATTCGTATTCCTCTTTTGACAGTAAAAAAAGAAAATAGTTGCTTACAAATAATCATTTTAAAAAGTTTTTTTCATTAGTGAGAATTTATATTATTTTATTAGTAATCTTTAAAAAAATAAATAACACGTACAGTCGACTCTGCTAAGTTCGTAATAATAAAAATGTTATGTACAAAATCTTCATTTTTTATTTAAAAACCAACGGCTGGTACAACGTAATTTTGGACTGAGCTTTGCCATACTTCAACCAAGCGATTAGTGGGTATCTTTCTTGAAACCAGTACGTAGTATGAAAATAAACATTCCAAAAGCTTCTGACGACTGGTCCAATAAGAGGTGTTTCTTAAAATGAATTCATACACGTATGTACATCTTACAGAAATTTTTTTATTGTTGAGTAACATTTTAATGATACTTACTTATGACGGAAAACATGAATTTTCTATATAGGTAGTTGTATTTACTGTAAAGGCTCATTTTTCTAGTATCTGCAAAATAGATTTCTTAATTTTTTTAAAGCTTCAATTATTAAAAAAATAAAATAAAATAAACCAACAAACTTTTGCAATTGTTAATGTCACAGAAAAACGCCAAAAACGCTTCCATGTCCAGTGCCATGTCGACGCAAAATAGTCCATCAATTGCAGTGCTGATTAATAAAAAGAAATCATCAGTGGGTGCTTGCAATTGTTTCACGTACACTTCGTCTTTTATCCTTTCGCACAACTGCGTCGTCTCACTTTCGCTCTCCCGGCAAAGATTCAGCCTGTTGAACATAAATAAAGTAAAACCTCCAACATTTACCACTGAAATATGTATCTCGGTGTCGAGTGCGAAATCTCACTTGTCAGGAATCCCCAATAATTTTCCGACAACTCGCCAAAAGTGATTTATACCCTCTCGTTCTTCGGGTTCGTTTGTAAGCGCCAAAACATTTGCGCTCAGGAGAACGTATCCTATGAAACCGTACTGCGTCAAAACCATATTTTGCTGTGTTATTCCTTCGTCGGTGCGTTTCATCGCGCATTTGCTGTTCGTCGAGTGCTTCCAGCGAATCGTATTCAACGATTTGTAGAACCTGAAAATCCCATTTTTCGAGTACTTACATTTTGAGTAAATGTCGATCGAATGAAAGAGTTTGGAAAAAACTGACTTTGAATCGGGATCGCGATAATCGTGGATGTGCAGGTTGTATACGTGCAGCACAGTTTGCAAGTACCTCTTGAACGCCGCGCACGGTGTCGAGCTTCGTTTCGTTGCTATTAGGAGCTGCAAATTTTTTTTCAATCGTCAATATATTTTGTTTTTCACACAGAAGTACACCTTACATTTTCACCGGAGAGCAAACCATGCGTAAAATCGTATACCTATAGTAACATCTCGTTAACATTTTTTAACTGCGCGAAGCTTTGCAAAACAAGATTTATTTTGTTTCTAAAACTTTGCAAATCAACATTTTACATTAGATTTTTTCAGAGGACAAGTTAAGGAGTTCGTTATAGTACAACACTCTAGATCGATCGTAAAAATGATCAAATAAAAAAAAAAAACGCTTAAAAACTATTTTTTGTTTATTAAAAAAGTTAATATTTTACGACAAAGTATTGGTATATGTTATGTAAATAGTGAGTGTTTCGAAAAAAAAAAGAAAAAAAGAAAGCCAACAAAGAAACCATACCAACCCGAACTCACCGATTTCAAAGATCTTTTGGTATTTTTCAGTACACATAAAGTACGAGGTACTTATTTATTTATTTTTATACACTACAAAATAACTAATAACCCAATAAATCTTTGAAATCGGTAAGTTCGGGTTGGGATTGTTTCCTTGGTAAATCCGTTAGGCAGATTATTTTAAAATAAAATGGATATCTTACTTCTTTGTTCTCACAAATAAAAACACAACGATGCTACATTACGTCAAAATTCGGTATTGGGGGCGTATGACAAATTTTAACGTCACAAACGTTAGAAGTTTCATAACTTTCATGACTCATGTGTTATTTTAACGCGCTATCGTTTTCCAATGATTAATACTATATAAATATCTAGTATGAACTGAAGAGACAAAAGTTAATTCTTTATTCATTCACTATTCCAGCTAATCTTTTTCGTTACGATAGTTTAAAGTAACAAATAAAAAAAAGACTCGAAATTTTTGGAAAAATATGACTTAGTCATAAACGTACACCGTTGTTTATGTCGCAAGTAAATTTTTGATGAATGTATCAGTCGTGCCTTATAATATATGCAAAAGAGAATTTTCGTAAATTGACATGCGCATGAAAAACTGGTTTTTTTTCACTCACCTTGGAAATGCTAGGGACTAGGAACACCGCGAAAAGACCCGCTAAGTAAGCTGAAGTTATTCCCAGTATATTTCTCGTATAATAATTTCGACCTCTAAAGTATAAAACGTTACGTAACTGATATGTAGCCATGGATTGTCACGCGTGCGAGATGTTATAATAACGTGGAACAAAGTTGATATTATACAAACATTTTAAAGAGTCTTTCGTCGAACCAGCTTGGCAGGTCATCGGGTGTGATGTTTCGATGATTGCTGTCAATTACAGAATTGTCACTCATGATTAACTTGAAGTGGTCCTCCACCGTATCCGGTTGCTCTAGAAGTACAATGTCATTGTATGGTTTGTCCTTGATTAAATATACCACCAAAACATTACTTTTCTATATCCGTTACCTTCGTCCGTCCAGCTACTTTTGGCGATGGTGCCATTTTTCTTCCTCATCTGGAAACAAAATATGATACAGTTGAAACAAAAATCTCGACTACGAGAGAAACCGTAGGAAATGATTACTTGGCTCATCGTACCGCGCTGTTATATACCTCTCTCACGCTGCGATTTCTAGCAAACATCCATCACCTACCAGATACAAAACGAGTTTTAAATCATCGGATCCAAATAATTACTACACCACGCTGGAGAGGGGGAAAACGCTTGGCCGCTTTTGTGATTTCACCTGGGACCATTGTAGCTTTGTTCAATTTTTGTTTTTAAATTTGGGGAGGGGGTTAATTAGTGTAAGCGTGAGCGCTTCGATTGTAGAAAGGAAAACAAAGTAATTTGTTTATCAACAATGTCGAAGGTGTACTTTGATACTACACAAACTACAGCCAATCGTATACCGAATATTGCGCAAATGCTTTGCGGGTGATTATAAAATTAATCTTTTACATCTTAGGGGTTCCCGTACAATCTAATTATGTGTAGGTAACGAGCACAATCATTTGAAAATTCGCGTTAAACTTGGAGCTTGAGTACCACACTCGTAGAAAAACACTCTATTTGAAGCGATGAGTTCAAACAGCAGTTGTCAATCTTGGTGCTGGTCGTACATTTCGAACTGACGATTTACTTAATCGGTATATCCATTACTCGTATTTCACGACATTTATAAAAGTACAAAAGTATATTTAACTGAAAACAGATTATTCGATGACGATGCAAACCTTTGAATATGTATATGCTGCCGACGAGCGTCGAGAACTAGGTACCAACTTCAAGTGCTACTTATAGGATAGAAATAAAAGTCATCCGTAAGTGGCGCGTGGATCATCTAGTCTATGTATTGCACCGTAATATCTCCCATTCTCTTTTCTTACGCTCGTTTCAAACGCTGTCAGCAGTGAGATAGTATATAAGATATCTATTACCTTACTGTGCTAGTACGAAAGAAACAGATAATCAGACAGATTATCTTGTTGGCTGGATATTTACGGAACGCAGCGTTGTTCATTGCGTGCACAGTCCCAGCAAACACATTTTCTCCATCTGAAAGATATCTTTGGGGAGTTTTTGGGGTAAAATTCCCTAAATATCTCTTTCTGATGGACATTAGAATTTTACAAGACACCTACAAGAAATCTTGAGAAAATGTGTTTGCTGGGATTGGTGCCGACATCTAAATTGTGACACCTAGCGGATCAGACTGGCGAAATCTTACCTCCAAAGTTTCTTACCTTAACGTTGTACCGTGCAGGAAGCGATCGGAAAGTATCGAGCGTTCAATGCACAATTCTTTTACATAACAAGCATTAATGAATTCTGGATCGAAGAACTGGATTCCGTAGGTAAAAATATACGAAGCGAGTAAATATAGTTTATGATAGTCACAGTGGCATAGCGAGTTGGAGCTTTGTCGATCAGCGAAGTTGAACAGCTTTTGATAGCGTCGTACTTGCATAGTTGACCGGTTCAAATCTCGCCGTGTTGGTTCCGGTGTTTAAGTATACGTAGAGATTTATATGTATATATTACAGTGTATTGACCTATAAGGTATGTAAGGTTACTATATACATAGATACCTTCAGGGCTCTGGCAAAATCCCGATTTACCTTTATCTCATTCGGCGAACAACTTTGTTGTTTTATTATTATAATATACTACTAATATTATTATTATTATTGTTTAATATCTCGAGCAGTGATCGATGCAGTCTCCGTAAAACACGCAGATGACTTTTTTCATTTTTTATCAATAAAATCGTACCCAAGTAGCTTAAAAATTGTATATATCTGGTGGACAATTGAATGTATACTAAGTATATTTTTTTTTTATCTCCATTTTTTCCTTATGCGCGAAAGAAATAAGTTCTTAAAAGTGTAGAACTTCATTTAGGGATGAAGATGTATTCATGATCTAGTTTTGGCAGATCACAAATTTCTACTGAGACTAGTTGAGGAATGAATGTCAGTGCTGTTTTTTTTTATGCCAGTGACTGAGCTTATTTTATTACAAGGACGAGATGCGTGCACTATGATTCTAAGAGTATTTTTTAAATTTCCATACTTTACACAATAAATATTTAATAATGTGAGGGAGTGCATATTAACCAATCAAATAAATCTACCAACAACTAATTAACAATTTTGATAGTTATAAGAAAATTTCAAACAAAAGAAAAAATGAATTCGGGAAAATATCCTAGCAAGTGTGCTTGATCTGTGACAAAAATGTTCTGCAATCTTACGGCCCTCCTGCATTAATTCTTTCTCTTGAGTTAGTAAAATAATTCATAAGTAAATCATTGACTTACAATTGGCTGGTTTCTCTGTGCTCTTACAAATGGCCTGTGTTTTTGCCCCTTCAAAAGAAGGGGACAAATGATTTTTGACGTTAAAAGCCATATTTTTTTAATAACTTTAAAAACTGTCCGCATTGTCAGCAGCATAGATTACGCTATAGAGCTAATCACTGAGATTTTTAATATCCACTGGCATGTGTGACCTTGACACGCGCGTATGTAGCAACTTTTTAATACTGAGATTACGCAATTTTTTGTTTGTCTCAAAAAGTTTTATTTGAAAAATTTCTATAAAATTTTCGTTATATACTAAATTTTTATTTTAATAAACTGAAATTTATTTAATCAAAGTATTTGACAACGTATCAATGTGTGAGAGTAAAATGTAACATTGTGTCCACGTAGCAACTAAGCTCTCTTTGAGCAGAATCCGAGAAGTTAGTGAATTAAATAGGCTTGTCCGTATTTTAAAAGTCAGCTGATCTGTCTTTGTCACACAAACTGCTATCTATATCTTCAGTAAAACGTGTGGTACACACTTCAAACAGCGATAAAAAACGTTTGAGAGCTTTAGTCTATCTCAAAAATTAATTTTAATTAATAAATACTGTTTTTGATATGATTGTTCTTGATAAATCAGATAAATTACATAATCATCAAATTATTGTGAAAAATTACAAACACAAACGTAATTAAAATATAATACTTTAATGCTTTAACGTTATCATCCGTTCGATTGCTCGAATTTCAAACTTTTTCTTCATACGTCTGCTTTTTTTTCAATTGTCTCTAAATTATCAAAAGTTGTACAGTTGTTTTTGTAAAGTCTGAAGTGCAGGGAGGCTCAAGTTTTTACCTTATTTCCTGTAAACGTAAAAAGGCCAATTATTTGATGACGCGTATTGTTTTAATTTAATTGTGAATTTAGCAAATGAATTTTTTTTTTATGTGAACATTAATCTTTTACATCAAGAGTACACGATTATAAAATGTTTAGTAAATCTTCCATTTCAATATGGCTATATTGTTAATGAAAAAAAATTTTTTTAAAAAGTTTTTATTAGTAAACAATTATTATAATAGTAAAAGTAATTAATAATAAATAAATTAATAATAATAAAAAACATTTTTGTTTCGATTATTATCGTGATTTTCGGTCTGAGTTCGAAGCCCAGAAAATAAATAATTTTATATTGAATCTCTTGAGTTTCAGATTCAGTGTAACTTTATTTGTTTAGCCCAGCCCGTGTAGTTAATATTTAATGTATTTGTATCAGCCCACTTTGTTTGCTGTTCATTAATCATGAACATAACTGGTCTCGTACACTCACTTCCATTTTACCATGCTACGTTTATTACAAATATAATATATTACATTCATACAAACTCGCACATGTGACTATTATTTGTGCAATACGAAAGTTAAAGAATTACGCTGAGCTTGATCTAGATGATAACGTAATCATTTTAAAAATCATAGAACACCGTAGAACACCTCATTAATTATTTTGTAAAAAAAAGTTAATAGTTTTAAGATAGAGGAAAATGAAGTTATTGGGCTTATCAATATTTGATTAAAAAACTAAGTGTATCTTCAAACTAGATAATTTCGATAAAATACTTGTGTTATCTCAAAGGATCTCACGCAAGTGCTGTAAAGAATAAAGTTTTCAGTTTTTCGTGTCGATGACACTGAGAAAAATCATACATTAAAATTCATAATACGATGCAAGTGCATTCCTTTTACTTAAGGCGATACAAGTACGCACCTTTATGTGCTCACCTGTATTTATCCGAGTGGATGTAACTAATTTGTTGTATAGAGCAGGATTGACCGGCTGTCTCTTCTACAACCTGCACTTTTAGCAGCAAGTTAATGCTTCTCAAAATTCAATACTCGAATACCATTCAATGAAATATGGTAAAAATATGTCCGAAAACAGTTATTAACGCTGTCTGGTGATAAGAAATAAGCCTTAAATAGTTATTAAAATAGTACCTATATATAAGACGACCTACCCAGTAAATCGATTAATCATAATTATAACTATCGATTTTTCTTTTTTTACCTTAACAAATAAATGCTAAAATAGATGCACGGCAAATACCTCCACACAATACAATACATATTTTAATTGTTAAAAAAATTATACACATATACTATTTGTTACAGTAGTACCATGACTTTTTGTAAAACCGTTCAAATTTGCTAGTTATTTGAGCAATGGTGTAGAATCCGTGGTGTTTTGTTATTAAATTTTAAATGTCCAAAATCAACGAGCTATAAAAATTTGATGTAAAGGTAAATAGATAGGCACGAGTAATTAAATCTCTTTTCCTATTCTGACATGCAGAAGGAAATATAACTGAGTGTGGGTGGGAAGGAACAAACTAGAACATCATCTCTGGTCAATAGTTAGATAGGCCCTCATCTATTCTCCAAAAGTGGTCTCCTGGCAATCTTTTGTGCATTACCTTGAACCAGCGAGTAACCGATGAGAAAATCTATGTTAACACATGAAATATTGATTAAAAATTGTTCGTATGGGTGAATCCGAGAGTTGTAAAAAAAAAATTTTTTTTGGCACACCAAGTTTTCA